GATTTTCCCTCTGCAATTAATTTTATTTTCCTTTTCCAGATTAAGCTTCTTACGGCACAGGCCATTCAGCTACTTAAATTCTCCAAATATTTTAAAGTTTTGCCATTGGCTACCAAATGAAGAACAAATTCTTCCAGCAGATGTTCAATGTATCCCTTTATGTTGGAGGTGAAAACAACTCAAATACATATGGGCATCAGACATACATGAAGCAAGGTTTAAGAAAAACATGTCTTTACTACAAACGACAATGAGAAGGCAGCCTAGTCATAATAATAAATGGTAACTGACGTTTACAGAGGCAATAAGAAGTGATAGATACTGTGGCCATCAACAGACTGTAGACCCTGTTCAGAGGTCTGCGTCTCATCTCCACTAATTACTGATATGTGGAAATACAGGCCCACCACTGCTGCCATAACTTTAGATATTTTCGAGAGAAGCCAAACATTTAGAAATTTATGTGTAACCTCCCATTATTTAAATATTGGTAGCTTATTCAAACAAAACCCTTTCCCACTCTCTTCAGTTAAAAAAAACCCTAAATATTGACCAGGTCAAATAAGTCATCAGGTAGCTAAATTCAGCTCATGGTCTGTAAGTGTGTTCCTCCTGTATGTAGTATAATTTTTCTCCTGTATTAAGACTTTATGTTCCATGTTCTACCTTTTTCCTACCGAGACCTCCATGGTCTCACCTCTTAGCCTTTGTTCTTGTAGTTCTTATTCCTATGAACATCTTCTTGTCATCCAGTCTACTGAAATCTTACCTATCCTGGCAGTCCACCTCAAATTTTATGGTCCCTCAAACCTCCTCCTCATCCTCTTGGCCAGCCTCCTTACTTTCTCTCAAACTGTGAGTCCTCTCTTCTGTGGCCCATTCCTTAACTTTCCCGTACACATTAGCTGTTTACGCTTATATACTCCTATTTGACCAGAAGATTCATGAGGTCTGATTGACTCTGAAATCCCACAGTCTTTGTCGATAGTTTCTAAATATAGCTGAAGCTCAATCTGATTTGAATTTGCAAAGAGATGGAAGAAAGAGTGTCTGTATTTGGATATTTTCATTTCATTCAGAACTTAACAGTCCATCTACTTCTACAACAAAAGAAGGTGGGGCTATCCAACCCTCTTCTTTCTCTCATGGCCAGATACCACATCTGCAATGTCTGCAAAAACTCATGTTTGTGGCTCAGAATGTGACTTGGAATCTACTTACTGCAAGGAGGAAAAGCATTGCTGTACGCGGAGATCGTCTGGGAGATGGAAAGTTGATCCTAGCCAGGAAGATGCTCTTATTCCTTTCTCAGTAAAAAGGCAATGGGTTTGCTCATTCTTGTTCTCACCTAGAACTTTTATTTCCCCTTTCAGACACCATTTAGTAGCACTCACTCTTCAGAATTAGTGTTCTGAACCTGAACTTTCTCTGCTATTCCACTTCGAGTTCTGGACTGCTTTTACTGATCAGGTAACAGGCAATCAGGCAGGCTGCCACATAGTAAATAAATGACCACAGAGTACACTGGGAACTTAGTCATGCATATTTAAAAGCACTCAGCCTGCGCACAGTTTTTACTGATGAATGATAAATGTTTGGCATAGCTTACCACCATATTGCAATTTAAAAAAAAAGCCTACCATATTGGACCCTTACCTCTCAGGTCTAGAGAAGCTTGTGTAGGAAGCAGTAGTCCTTTACAATGCTGATGCTTAGGACTACCATAATTCTTGTACCATAGACTAAACAGGTTGGGAGTTTTAGTCTACTTTAAGAAACTTTACTCAAACCTGGACACCCCTCAACTATATTCTAGTGAGCAGAGTTGTAGTTGTGCTTATATCTAGCATAATAAGCATCAAGAAACTATTAAAAATATGAGTTGTTATGATTATCACTGAAAAATTCAAGGACATCTAGAAGAAAAATGCCCATTTCCCAGTCACCTACCACATAATCATTAATTTGATTTCTTGTTTCCTTCTAGTGTTTCTCCAAATCTGCAAGCACCTTTTACCTAGTGTTAAGCATACTTAGTAAGTTTTGCTGAATCAGTATTTCCTCACCTAACAAAAATGATCCTGGTATATTCCAATAGATTATTGCATCTATTAATGAACATGATCTAGAAATATAATAGGAGCAAAATGTGTGTATTCTTAGGTATTTGGCTTTCTGAGAGATTAAGAAAAATAGCATAAAACCACAAATGAACAATAATTTTGCCAGCCACACACACAGGCTCTCACTTCAATTGTTTATTTTTAGCTGATGCTAGAAGCACAATCCTGAGATGAGTTTGCAAAATAGAGATTCATATAGGAACTAAAGAAGACAGAAACTGGCCAGTATTCATCTTCAAATGAGTTTAACTTGTATTTATGAAAAATTTGCTCTAAAAGGAATTGACATGGTCGCCTTATTAGCCAGGTCTGAATCACCTGTGATTCAGGAGGTTTCTAGAGGGAACCCTGGGAGTTCTCTAAAGGGGAGAGTCTGATAGGGCCATCCTCCCAGCTTGGTAACTTTCAGTATATTGCACAGTATTGCCACTTTGTGCATTCAATTAAGAAGGTTTATGGATTGTATTCTTTTTCATTTTTAAAATTTTTAAAAATTACCTCCAAGTTAGTTAGCATATAGTGCAACAATGATTTCAGGAGTAGATTCCTTAAGGGCCCTTACCCAGTTAGCCCATCCCCCTCCCACAACCCCTCCAGTAACCCTCTGTTTGTTCTCCATATTTAAGAGTCTCTTATGTTTTGTCCCCCTCACTGTTTTTATATTCTTTTTGCTTCCCTTCCTTATGTTCATCTGTTTTGTATCTTAAAGTCCTCATATGAGTGAAGTCATATGATATTTGTCTTTCTCTAATTTTGCTTAGCATAATACCCTCTAGTTCCATCCATGTAGTTACAAATGGCAAGATTCCATTCTTTTTGATTGCCTAGTAATACTGCTGTGTGTGTGTGTGTGTGTGTGTGTGTGTGTGTGTGTGTGTGTACATTCATCCATCGATTGACATTTGGGCTCTTTCTATACTTTGGCTATTGTCGATAGTGCTACTATAAACACTGGTGGGTATGTTCCCCTTCAAAATAGCATACCTTTATCCCTTGGATAAATACCTAGTGGTGCAATTGCTGGGTCATTGGGTAGTTCTATTTTTAATTTTTTGAGGAACTTCCATTCTGTTTTCCACAGTGGCTGCACCGGTTTGCATTCCCACCAGCAGTGCAAAAGAGATCCTCCTTCTCCGCATCCTCGCCAACACCTGTTGTTGCCTGTGTTATTAATGTTAGCTGTTCTGACTGGTGTGCGGTGGTATCTCACTGTGGTTTTGATTTGTATTTCCCTGATGATGAGTGACGTTGAGCACCTTTTCATGTGTTGGTTGGCATCTGGATGTCTTCTTTGGAGAAGTGTCTCTTCGTGTTTTTTGCCCATTTCTTCACTGGACTATTTGTTTTTTGGGTGTTGACTTTGATAAGTTCTTTATGGATTTTGGATACTAACCCTTTTTCTGATATGTCGTTTGCAAATATCTTCTCCCATTCCTTCTGTTACCTTTTAGTTTTGTTGATTGTTTCCTTCACTGTGCAGAAGCTTTTCATTTTGATGAGGTCCCAATAGTTCATTTTTGCTTTTGTTTCCTTTCCTTTGCCTCTGGAGACGTGTTGAGTAAGAAGTTTCTGCGGCAAAAGTCAAAGAGGCTTTTGCCTGCTGTCTCTTTGAGGACTTTTATGGCTTCCTGTTCTATGTTTAGGTCTTTCATCCATTTTAAGTTTAATCTTGTGTATAATGTAAGAAAGTGGTCCAGGTTGATTTTTCTGCATGTTGCTGTCCAGTTTTCCAGGTACCTCTTGCTGAAGAGAATGTCTTTATTCCATTGGATATTCTTTCCTGCTTTGTCAAAAATTAGTTGAGTCGTTTGTGGGTCCAATTATGGGTTCTCTATCCTGTTCCATTGATCTGAGTGTCTATTGCAGGATATAAAAGCAATGCACAGAAATCAGTTGCATTTGTATATACCAATAATGAAGCAACAAAAAGAGAAATCAAGGAATCCATCCCATTTACAATTGCACCAAAACCCATAAAATAGCTAGGAATAAACATAACCAAAGAGATGAAGAATCTATACACTGAAAACTATAGAAAGCTTATGAAAGAAATTGGGGAAGACCCTCCAAAATGGAAAAATATTCCATGCTCCTGGATAGAAAGAAAAACTATTGTTAAAATGTCAATACTACCCAAAGCAATCTACATATTCAGTGCAATCCCTATCAAAATAACACCAACATTCTTCACAGAGCGGGAACAAACAATCCTAAACTATGTATGGAACCATAAAAGACCCCCAAATAGCCAAAGCAATCTTGAAAAAGGAAACCAAAGCTGGAGGCATCACAATCCTAGACTTCAGACTGTATTACAAATCTGTAATCATCAAGACAGTATGGTACTGTCACAAAAACAGACATTCAGATCAATGGATTGTATTTTTAATTAAAAAAAAAAATCAACCTTGACCAAATGGACAAGTGGCTTAAAAAACAGTTCAGGCAAGAAGCAGAGGGTTGAAGATAATATTGATATTATAGGCAAAGCACATTTTAATGTAAAAATGTCTTTGTATAATTCATGGAGGATAGGGAGAAATAAGTATCAGGATTTATTATGATATATTATTAAACAGTGCTTTTCATTCCCAATAATTCCTTTCTACACTGTTTTTAAAGTGAACAGCAGTGTAAAGTGGGGGGAGCAGAATGTCTGTGTTGTGGCCAGGAGCGATGAGGCTGGGCGTGGCAGTCCTGGTGGCCCGGAGCCCCTATGGATGGGATGACCCTAGCAGCTGCACTAGGGTCTCAGATACTGACTGGAGAAGCCACGTCAGGGAGCACCCAGTGGAGGCATCCTGGGTGGAGACCAGCTGGAGGTAAAATGGATCCTCACCACTGCTAACCCTTCTCTCCTGCTTTGGTCCTTTCTAGTTCTCCTCACCTCCAGCCCCAGTGAATCGAGAACAAAGAGAAGAAGTAAGAGAAACTTCAGCCACCTTGTGCAATTGGGGGGCTTAAAAGAGAAGTTGCAGTCATTTACAGAGAAATAAAGCATTTTTTTTAACATATCTGAGTTTGTAGTCTGAAAATGATACCAAGTCCATTATGTAGAGATCATTTCCGGTTGGCTCTTGTTTATCTTCCTGTTTCTAGACTGGTGATTCCCAAACTTGTCTACACATTAGTATCCCTTGGAGGAACTTAAAAACCTGCCAATGCCTGTGTTCCAACCTCAGAGCTTATTAGTTAAGTTGATTTGGAGTGTGACGCTGGCTTTTGCAATTTTATTTTATTTTATTTTTAAAACTCGTTTTATTGTGTTTTATTAAAATTTATTTTTAAAGGAGAGGGATAGATAGAGACAGAAAGAGCGCATGAGTGGGGGAGGAAAAGAGAGAGAGAGGGAGACACAGAACCTGAAGCAGGCTATGAGCTGTCAGCACAGAGCCTGACAAGGGGCTCTAACTCACAAACCGTGAGATCATGACCTGAGCTGAAATCAGAGGCTCCAATGACAGAGCCATTCAGACGCTCCTGGATTTTGCAATTTTAAAAAAGATCCTAGGAGATAGGGCACCTGGGAGGCTCGGTTACTTGAACCTCCAACTTCAGCTCAGGCCCTGATTTCAAGGTTTGTGAGTTCAAGCTCCACATGGGGCTCTCTGCTCTCAGCTGCTGTCAGCCTGGAGCCGACTTCAGATCCTCCGACCTCCTTTCTCTGCCCCTCCCCCACTAGCCCACACAGTCTCTCTCTCTCTCTCTCTTTCTCTCTCTCTCAAATGAATAAATAAATAATCAATCCTAGGTGATCCTAATGTGCAGACATGATTTACTCTTACACAAGAATATTTGATTTTATACTGTTTGTGAATTTTTTTTTTTTTTTTTGAGAGGGAGAGACCAAGCGGGGGACGGGCCGGGGGGGGGGGTGAAGAGAGAGAGAGAGAGAGAATCTTATGTGGGGCTCAATGTCATGTCCGTGAGATCATGATCTGAGCCAAATTCAAGAGTCCGACGCTTAACCGACTGAGGCACGCAGGCGCCCTGTGTTTCTAGATTGGTAAAGTTCAGACTGCTGCAAGCGTTGTAGCCCCGGGTGCTTCTGTCACAGCGCGCGCCTCTCCACTGTCTGCACCTCCCCCTGGGCTGCAGCCCCCAGGATGGTATGCTGCATGAAGTGNGGGGGGGGGGGGGGGGGGGGGGGGGGTCTTGCTGGTTTTGCTCAGCAGCGCTCTCTGTCATCCATCATAGCACGTGGCATGTGGAAGATAAAGAATAAATATTTATTGCACGAATGAAGGAATGCCATACAAGGCTTTTCCCCCTTCTTGCTCATTATATCCCACTCCCAACTCCTCTGGAACTAGAACGCTCCCCGGCTAAGAACAGATGACTCGCGAAGCGAGGCTACGGGAGCAACCGTGTGAGGAAACAGATGCACATGTGCTCCTCAGCTGAACTCTTTGACATCACCAATTTGGAGATTTTGATCAAATGCCAAGTCTGTTGTCATAGTCTCAAAGTTCTGAGAGGAGAAAAGTGCTGCCTTTTCGTTTCTGGAATTAGTCAAGATTTTTCTATGCAGAGTGAATAATTAGATATTTATGAATGGTTTTTGTTAGGTTGGCACAAATTCGGGGTTTTATGTTCTTATGTTCAGTATATTGATCTGCTAAAATAGTTTATTGACATTTATGACACTTGGAAATTATGTATTCTTTGTTCTGTTGCCAGGAGTTCAGTTGATCATAGTAATGAATATTAATTTCAAACTTTAAATGACCAAGTACAAAACAAGATGTCTAAAGCTGCGCTTTTCTATATTATCGTATTCTGAATATAAGGAGTAATAATTAGAAGATTAATGAATTTCAAAAGTTCTTTCTCCTTGAGTCTTTATAAAAACCATTTTGTGTCATACATTTTTCTCTCCTACAGATGGGTTTATGGAGGGCACTTTACGCAATGAGCCCTAGATGTTCTACGTACATGACAAATCACTAAATTTTATACCAGAAACTAATGTTATACTGTACATTAACTAACTGGAATTTAAACTAAAACATAGGGAGGAAAAAAAGAAAATACAAACCTGTATCTTAAATGGTTATCTATTTATTTTGAGAGAGAGAGAGCCAGGGAGGGGCGGAGAGAGAGAGACCGAGAGTCCCAAGCAGGCTGGCTCCACGCCAACAGCATAGAACCCAAGGTGGGCTCAGTCTCATGAACGGTGAGATCACAACCTGAACTGAGATCAAGAGCCAGTCGCTTCACTTACCCAGCCCCCCAAGTTCATATTTTCAAATCTGACAATGGCCTTCACTCGCCTCTCCCTGATCTGTACTTTGCACTAGGAACACGGAACACATGGCAGGCACAGCACCCAAAGATCTGCCAAAAAAGGTGAATGGTAAGAAAAATTAAGGAAAACAAATCAACTTTTCTAGCTTTGCTTTTCAGTCTGTTTCCTTTTTCTGTCTCATTTTGAGTTACCCAAACAGTTTTGAAGGCATCAGCTCTGCTCTCCATGGCCTGCCAAACAGCGGACACCATAGTAGATATTATAAAACGTGAAAGCACATGTTTTCCTATTCCGTAAAACTCTAGCTTTTGACATTTATTACAAAAAGGCAAAGTAATGACATGTGGAGTGACTCTTGTAAGATACTCATTTTGACACGAAATGAAGCAAGGAAAGTCTGTAAAGGCAAATAACCTGCTCACCACTAATCTTTTAAAGCCAGTTGGACCCCAGATGCTTGGAATTGAGTTAATCATAATTCTTGGTCCAGGATATACCATCATTGCTTGAATAAGCATGACCTTTTATTTGTTTTAATAATAGAAGATGCCCATGAACTTACAACCTAACCCCAGAACCAGAATATTATGTTGATCTTAAGTTTATATGTACACTCTTTTCTGACCCCCTTCACTTGCCTCAGCAGAAAACAATATCCTGTATTTATTATCCCTTTATTTATTTTTAAAGTTTATTTATTTTTGAGAGAGTGAGTGCACATGCACGCGTAAGTGGGGGAACTGGAGAGAGAAGGAGAGAGAGAATCCTAAGCAGGATCTGCCCTGTCAGCACAGAGCCCAAGGTACAGCTTGATCTCACTAACCATGAGATCATGACCTGAGCTGAAATCAAGAGCCAGACACTTAACCACCCAGGCACCCCAATTTATTATCCCTTTTAAAAAATAGTTTTATCATATGCACATAAGCAAGAAGATATGCATCTATCTACACAATGCATTGATTCTCTTTGCTTTTGCTTCTGTTCAACCTGTATGTAAGATTCATCCATGTTGTTGTATTTGTAATTCATTCATTTTAAAATTATTTTATAACAGACATATACCACATGAACATACACCACAATTTACCCATTTTCCTGCACACGGGCATTGGCATTTTCAAAGCTTTTATTATTCTGAACTGTGGTGTAGGAGTTTTCTTGTGTTGGTGCCTGGTCCATGCATGCAACATTCACCTTGTATATGTACCTTGGAAGGCAGGTGCTGACCCTCGGGTATACAAATCTATAAGACCTACAGCTTTACAAATTATTTTCATAAAACTGCTGAGGTAGTTTCATTTTCTAATGCTTGGTATTTGTCAGACTTCTTAATTTTGGCTGCGTATTTCGAAAAGTGATATTGCATTGCGATCTGATATACACATTGTCAAGTTTTTTCATAATGGTGATCAACTTCATCTGTTTGTTGGCCAAATGTGTTTCTTGTGTATGAAATACTTATTCCTGACTTTTCCCTTTTTTTTCTATTTTTTTTCTTGTTGACATGTAAGCCTTTTTATATTTTCTTGGTACTATCACTTTCAGTTATATGTGTTGTAAGCACCTTCTCCCATTTTTGTGGCTAGTTTTATCACTTTCTTAAAATGTCTTTTAGGGACATCTGGGTGGCTCAGTCCGGTAAGTGTCCAACTTTGGTTCAGGTAATGACCTAATGGTTCGTGGGTTCAAGCCCTGTGTCGGGCTTTGTGCTGACAGCTAGCTCAGAGCCTGGAGCCTGCTTCGGATTCTGTATCTCCCTCTCTCTCTGACACTTTCCTGTTCATGCCATCTCTCTCTCTCTCTCTCTTTCTCTCTCAGAAATAACTAAAAACATTAAAAAAAAAGTCTCTTAATTTTAGTATGGTCAAATGTATCAGTATCTTTATGAATTAAGCACTTTGCACACAAATATCCACACACGTATGAAAAGGTGATATTCGATATATATACACACATATATAATATAAACATATACAGATATGTAAGTATTTGTATATATTTCCAAATATGATTTTCATGATTCTAAATCTTCTGATTATAAAACAAATTTATGGAATAGGGAATACCACAATTTTATATACATCGATTGCAAGCTATTTTCTGAATTGAGAATTATTGAAAGAAAAATCCATCTTCATATTGAATAGCATACTCTACATTTATTTATTATATACAAAAACTCCAATTTATTTTTTTCTCTCCTTTTTTTAAATTTTTTAAATGTTTTATTTATTTCTGAGAGAGAGAGAGAGACAGCGTGAGCAGGGGAGGGTCAGAGAGAGAGGGAGACACAGAATCTGAAGCAGGCTTCAGGCTCTGAGCTAGCTGTTAGCACAGAGCCCGACGCGGGGCTTGAACCCACAAACCGTGAGATCATGACCTGAGCTGAAGATGGATGCTTAACCAACTGAGCTACCCAGGTGCCCTGCAAAAACTCCGATTTAAAAGAATCAGCGTACACACACACACACAATGAAATATTACTCAGCCACAAGGAAGAGTTAAATCTTGTCATTTGCAATGATGTAGAGGGAGCCAGAGACTCCTAGTACTATATTAGGTAAAATAAATCAGTCAGATGAATACCATATGATCTCACTCATAAGTAGAATTTAAGAAGCAAAACAAGTGAACACAGTGGAGGAAAAAGAGACAAACCATAAAACAAACTCTTAACTATGGAGAACACAGTAAGGGTTGATGGAGGGAGGTGGGTGGGGGATAGGCTAAATGGGTGATGGGTATTAAGGAGGGCACTT